TCTGCTCTGATATATTAGAAGAAGAAACAGGGGTGATTTGCTCCGGGTAGAGGGGACACAACATCAGATGTATTTGAATAAAAAACCTCTGCAAACAAACTTTTTCTGTGATTTCTCTTTTTCCAGACAGTTCTCATTTCCTTGAGTAAAACCTTTGCGAGTCGTAAATGACTGAGCATGTCGAGAGAAGACAGAGAGACTCTCGGGGATTAGTCTCATACAGGGGATGAGCAGAGTGTAATCAGAGCAGAAACTCCTGTGGGATAAATAGATTTTGTCAGTTAATTAAATTAAGGAAAATATCTCAAAATGAGAGTTGACTTTCACTTTAACTGAGGTCATCAAAAAACAGAGCCGCCTGTGCTTCCCTGAGCTCCTGTAGCTCCCCGTAATTCATTTTTTTTTACCAGATGGAGGGAAAAGTCAGCGTAATTGGCTAATCGATCATTCAGGAAAACAAAAAAGGATTTTATAAAAAAAAATAAACTTCACCATGTTTCTCTACCACTAATATGTGTCCCAAGTCTGTCTACCCCCCAATGATGAGAAAAGTCCATCCTCTCACTCAAAATGTGTGCTCAAAGAGGCCGTTTGGAGATTTTCCCTTCATGACATCACAAAGGGCAGTAGCCCCTCCCCCAGGTGGGTGACACTCCCACAGCTAGGTGTTTGTTCTGCCCTCTGAGTCTGCCTTTTCACCGTAAACAATAGGACATGGAGCGAGAAAGCCAGGGACACCCAAGCCCTTCCAGAGAGGGTGCGTGGTCAGACACAGCTCATTTACATATTTAAAGGTACAGACACAAAAACAGCCTGTTCTGAGCAGGGCTGAAATAGAGGGGTTTATAGGCATGATCAAAGGATCAGAGTGGATTTAGAACAAGACACTTCACACACATGTTTTGAGGAGCTCTGAGAATTATTAACACTAGTTGAAGAGGAGGAGGAGATGTGACCTTTAAAAGTTGTTTGCTTCTAACCTTGCACGGAAGTGACAAATCATGAATCTGCATCATGACAGAGTTATTTCAGCATCAGCAAGTAAATTACTGTAAAATATTTGTATTTGGGGATTTTTGAACTGAAGTAAGCCACCACAGAAATCCTGGTACTGATCCGAGCAAACCGGTCATCAAGCTGTGACCTGTGCTGTGTCCGAAAACACTTACTACATACTGCTATCTACTCAAAATAAATATACTGCATACTGAAAACTAACTCGACTGTTAGCAACATACTACAATACGGATCATGCAACGTACTTCCGGTGTGAGCTCCGTCCCATGAGCTAGCATCAAGCTAGCGCGACCGTCGATACTTCAATTTTATTCAAACAACAATTTCACGTTCATTACTAATGCAACTAGGTAGTCCTAATAATATTATTTGGCAATATGTAAATGTATTCCAGCACAGAACTTTTATTTTAAGCCACTAGTTGGCTGGCTGGCAAGCTCTAAGACTGGAAAGTCTGATAGCCGCATTGCATTGTGGGGCAGTTTCGGAAACAGCACTGCTCAGCCTCAAGAAGGATTTATTTTACATATTTAAAATACATTTAAAATCATCGTTGTTAGACTAGCAGTTCAACGCAGGCGGAAAGTTTATCCAGAGATGGTTCATGGAGGAGGAGGGGAGAGTAACCCAGCTGTGAGAGAGTCCAGGTGATGAACTGGCCGTTATTTCTTCTTCTATTTTAAACACAAATTTTAAAGTCGAGATATGAATAAAAAGAGACAAGGAGCAGAGTAAAACCAGCGTCACTCATGTTTGGTTTCAGAAGAGGACGTTTCCTCTACTTCTCCTCTCAGCTCCGTCCTCCCTCAGCAGCCTCCTCTGTGCACGAACGAGCCCCGCACACACACGATCACACTCTCTCTCTCACTAATGCACACTAACACACACTAAAACACACACAGCGCTGCACTATAAAAAAAGCCATTTTCACGGAGCACCTACACAGGCTGTGATATATGGATCATGTTTCAGAGCTACAGAGTGAGGAAAACACCTCTGCGGGTTTCACTCTGCTTTCTGCCTCAAACACACAAACACTGACACTTTTTTAATTCTCTACACACAGCTCGGACTAAAATATTCATTCCAAGGAACTGGTGGATTGCTTTATTTTTCTCAGGTTTAAAGACAACATCCGTCTTGTTTAAGACACATAAACTACATTTATTCTGATCTGACATGGTGCATCTTCCCTGTAGTATATTGAGGTTTGATTGAGGTAAAGATGGGTCAGTCATGACAACAAAGTGATGTCATTGTCATTTTTTTTAGAAGCGGTTGCCTCCATGCTCTAGCTTCCCGCTCATCCCAAAGACAAATTTTATTCAGTAACTATTCAACACTTACAGACAGCAGCCTTACACTGGCAGCTGCAGGATTACATAAAAGAACAGACCTCTGCTTTATGCTAAGTTTTGACTTTTGCAGAGGGATTAAGCTTCCTTTGCAATACCTGAAAATGCTCATACACCACTTTTTAACTTTCCTATAGCTTCACCTATAGCAGATACCCATCCCCCTCTGAGACTGGTGTGATTGTTAAAGATATAATACTACTCTCACTATGTGAAGGTGGCATCATTGTTTAATGACCTGTGGTAGAAAACTGAAGGTACCGAGGCGTGCATGCGTCTCAAACTGAGCTGACGTTCTTGACAGCTGCTGCTGACATCTTATAAAAGCAGAAGACTGTCCCGTGTTTAAAACCTGAAGCAGTTTTAATTTGGTATTTTTGGTAAGTAAACAAAAAAAAAACAAATACAGGCTAAAAAGAGTGATAGGGAAAAAAAAGATAGCTGACATTGTGCTAGCCTTGCTCTTGTTTAGAGTGCTTTGATTACTCATGGAGTTTTTTAATAACTGTAAAGGATCTGCTCTGATACCTCATCGGGAGGAATCTGAAATACTGAAATGGGTTTTGGACCCTCTCAAGCCACAACTGTACATCATTTCCGTTCGTCTCTTGGCCCTTAATCGCTGCACCAAGTCAACCCACGATTCATATTTTTGGTAGGTTAAGCTTAACAGCATTGTTGAGGCGTCCCACAATTCAGAGTGTGAGCATTTGTTTACCTACACAGTGGGAGAAGGAGACTGTGACGTTATGGTGTAAGGACAGCCCTGCGTTGGCGCGTGCTTTAGTCCGCTTTACAATAATGCCGTGTGAACAATGACATGAAGTAAATGTGCAAAAACGTATCACTTTCAGAACAAATAAAAGGAGCCATAGGTGTGAAAGCACCCTAAGATATAATCAAAGATAATGTATCATTTCAAAGACTACATGTCATTGTGTTTATTGTCCAAGAGGAGATTTCAGATGTTTATGATCTCACCTTGACAGCCTCCTGCAAACATTTGTAGGTCAAAGTGAGATTGAAGATGAGAGCTCAGGAAGGAGAATAAGCAGCAAAGTGTCTGTAAACTAAAGTCTTACATTTGTACCTTTCCTCAACGGGCTGATGCACTCACATCTTTAAGTCTGAACACCCCCATTGTTCTCCCAAATAGCCTTTGTTTCTTAAGTTTTTAAAAGTGTAAGTCATTGTGCACCAATTTTCTGTGTAGCCAACTACAGCTGTGTGTTCACAGAACAGGTGTGTGTGTTTAGCAGGAAGCTGAAGACTCATGTTGTTAAGTATTCAGAAACAGCAGGAACTCAGAATGAGGCCACAGAGGGCCAAAAGAAAACACAGACGGGACGACTTTCAGCAAGGACAAACCTTATCTGGACGTCTCCGCCAGCATCTGTCTGACTGTTTGTGTCTGTCAGCATGTGTGTGTGTGTTTATGTGTGTGTGTGTGTGTGTGTGTGTGTGTGTGTGTGTGTGTGTGTGTGTGTGTGTGTGTGTGTCTGCATAAAAAGTGTGTCTGTGAACATGACTGTGTTACAAACATTGCATAACCAGAGGCTGTCAGACTGGAGCGTCTGTTTTCAGCCTCTCAGATGAAATGTTTGCTTTTCTCGTCTGATGCAACAGAACGGAGACGTGAAGAGAGACGCGGCAGCTCATTTCTACTTCTTATGTGTGAATTTTTAAAAGAAGCATGAATGAACATTTATTTACATGCATATTTATTTTAAAATCATTTAGTTTGCCCTGCCTCAGTGTTAAGGCTGACTGTATTTCCCGGCTTTCTGCAGCTTCCCTCAGCATCATCGGGGAAGTGACAGCAGCTTGAGGGAACAAAGCAATAAGTATGAATTAACATAAATTCACATGGTAATGTATTCAGCATTGGGATATGACTTTCCACGAAAACAGGGGGGGTGGGGGGGGGGCGTTTTTGAGAGAAAGCTTTGAGAAGCAAAGCAGGGAGAATTTGCAAACTTGTGCACAGACACGAGTTTAATGAACAAATATTAGGCGAGATATTTACGATTCAAAATGAAGATAAACTATTCCAATCTCTGGAGCCCAATTGTGCATCAACACACAAACACACCCACTGCGCCCTGAAGGCATCACAAACAAGACGTTCAATACTAACACAAAGGAGTTCTGCTTCTAACAAGTTAATCCAAAATGTCTGTTTTATCAACAATGGCCGCCACGGCCCGACATTGGCACCTGAGAGCAGGCTGAAAGAGCTGCGGTGATTTGGCTTCACAATGTGCAGCCGTCACACACGCTCGCAGACATGCCAGGTTTCCCTCCGCACTGTATTCAGCCTGAACATCGAGTACAATGACGAACGCAGCGGCCTCTGATTTGTGCCGCTCTGTAATTAAATGGAGATGTGGGTCAAAACTCCCAACAGGTCGTCTGTCAGGAGAGAGGAAAAGTAAATTGGCTCCTCTAAGTGATTTTACAGAAAGGATTTCATGAGCTGCATTTATGACTGTTATCAAAATAAAAGTATTTATCAAGAGAACTCAAATGTGATCCCTCGGCCCGCCTAGCGTTCTTCTTCTGCAGAGATAATGACTGCAGGCTAATTGAAAGAACGCCCATTACATTAAAAGATGGAGGTCACATCACCTTTCCAAAGCTCCCTTTCCCGATGGCACGCAGTATCTGGAAGTGGTCGAAGTTCACTGTGAAGAAGAAAAGAGAGAGAGAGAATGCGTCAGTAATCATTTAGGTTTGGCAAAGATAGAACCTTTGCATTTCTTGCAGGGCGACACATTAAATTAAAAACTGAAACGATGACTGTGAGGTGAAAGTTCTGACTGTAAGCATTCATTTGATGGTGTTAACATTTACACCAGAGGAGGAGGAGGAGGTGCTGTAGATTCTTTCATAAAATGTTTTCCACTTTTATGTGACAAAAAAAACAACTTCACAAGTCAAGACTTTTAATGTTTGGTTTCTTTGTGACCAAGAGAGAGAGAGGGCTGGAACCTATACAAGAAGTCCTTGATGATTGGAGCCCACTGTGGTGCAGTGGTAAGTGTGCACGCCCAATGTACGGAGGCTATTCCTCCAAGCGGGCAGCCCGGGTTCAAATCTGACCTGTGGCTCCTATCCTGCATGTCTCTGTCCCAGATTTCTGACTTCATCCACTCTCGTAAAGTCACACAAAAAAGCCCCAAAATACATCTTAAAAAAAAAGAAAAAGTCGCAGTCTGTCAGCGTCGCTTCCACTAGTCAATGCTCGTATTTCCACAGCACACGCACGTCCCTGGAGCTCATCTCCATTTTAATTTTGTGCAGAGTCTATTTTCAACGAAGCCAACTGCAAGTACGCATCAAGTTGAACAGAGTAGATCGTTCCAGAAAGGAAGTCAGACACAGGAACACAGAGAGCATCCGGTCAATTTCAAAATAAAACACAATATTAAGACTCCTGATTGTATTTTCCATCACTTTATCAACACTACATCAAATCAGGCACCGAATGAAGAAGTCATCCTCAGAAAGACAAAGCAACATGTTGTATGCACGTTGTTCTCTTTATTCCCACGTGATCTTGTGGTTCTCATGAGATCTTGTGAACCCACGCTGAGGTTCCCCTGGAGGAAAGAGAGAGTTCAGAGAAACTTTCTCCTCCATGCTCCGCAATCAGTCATCTGATTTTTTTATTTATGATATCAATATGTGTAATGGCACAGTCAGATGTTCTGGCTCGTTGCCTCCTTCAGTGGGTGTGTGTTCTGATGATTGATAGGTTTGTCCTTTGAGAGGAGGAGGGTGAATAAACCCTAAAGCCTTGCAAAGAGGAAACACTCAGTGAAAAAAATAGAAAAAAGGAATAAAAAAATGCAAAAAATAAATAATGAACGTTTTATCACTGATTTATTCCTGCATCATATTCAGGACTGCTTAAGAAAGAAGATGGGGCCCAGGTGGTCGAGTGGTTAGTTTGCACGCCCCGTGTACTTGTACTCAGATCAGCTTCATGTCCGACCTGTGGCTACATGTCATTCCCCACCCTCTCTCTTTTTTTTTTATTCTGATTTCTGACTCTAATCCTGTCCTGTTTCTAAATAAAGGCACAAAATCCCCCCAAAAAAAATGTAAACAAAAAGAGAAAAGATGTAATGCCTCGTCCACAGGGGGCGTCAAAATCAACACTGCAATAGCTTCAGTTAGAACAGCAGCTAAAAGATTTTTACACTTTGGGCCTGATTCACTAAGAACAACATCCAGGATTTGTTTGGACCAGAGAAGGTAGGCGGTTTTAAGTAATCCCAGCTCAGCCGTTTTGGACACCCCTCGGTTTGCCAGATATGAGAGCACTTATCAGGTCAACAGGTGTTGCAGTGATGGAAGCGGGCAAGAGAAGTGGTTCAGATAGAAGTGATTGTACCCGACCTAAAAAGCCTCTGCATGTTTCTAATAAGCTCCACGAGCAGAAACGTGCTCAAACTAGGATCAATATTGGAGATGCTTTTGAAAAATGGAGAGAGGTTAGAACACAGAAAGGTTTACAGACCGATGCAGAGCTGGATAAACACTGAAGCTTCAGTGTCCACCACATGGTGACCTGTGTGAGCATCCACTCTAGAGAGGAACATTTGGACCTCATTCTTGATATTTCCATTTTATTCTCATTTTGACACTCAATAAATGTACTTTATTCTCCAGCAGTTCATTGAGTTGTTTTTTTTCTGTTTCCAGAGAAATCCATCATCATGTTACTGTGAGCTGAATTTAACGATGGAGTTCTGTCTGACTGTGATTCAGGCTGACGAGTTGCAACTGACCTCCTCCTGATCATTTCTGATACTGATTACCTGTGTGTGTGTGTGTGTGTGTGTGTGTGTGTGTGTGTGTGTGTGTGTGTACAAGTGTGTAGCGGACAGATGTGATCACAGCAGGTTGAATCTAACTCCTGCAGCTTCTCCTTAAAAGTCGTTCAGCTGCCGAAAGTCTCATCCTGATCCGATTTGCTCCCCCCCGTCCGTCAGACAACCAGCAATCATGAGAGAAGGAACACGTCACGCTGAGCTCCTCCAGGCTGACACGCCGCCAACAGACCCTCAACACCCCCCACCCCCCCCAACCAGAACATAAACCACATCACGATTTCTGCTCGCAGACAAAAGACACGAGAGTTTAGTGTGTAAGAAAGAGAGTAATCCTGTGAGGATCCTCTCTGCTCAGTCTTTTGTACACGACTAATCCACTCATATGGCTCTCACACTCACACGCACACACACACATGCACACGCACACACGCACACGCGCACACACACGCGCGCACACACACGCGCGCACACACACACACTCTTAGACAATTCCCAAGTTGAACCAGCACCAGCCCAGAACCAGCCTCAGGTTCACTTTGGTGGAAGAGGAAAATTAGAGCATACCACTTATTTTCCTGTAAATAGTTGATCTCTTCCTCTGTACAATCTTGAGGAAAAGTGACGTTTTGGAAGCAGTGTACGTCTTCTTTAATATCTAACAAGTTTCACTTCAAACCCCACAAATAGCCAAGGACCGGCTCAACAGAGAATCAAGAGAAGAGCTTGCAGCAGCAGAAACGCTTTGTTATGATTCAGCAGCCTTGACTGTATTCATCTTTTTACCTGTGTGACTAAACATTCAGCAGCTTTTCATGGAGTGTCCTCAGTGACACGCAGCACTCTTCTTCCCCAGCAACCGGTGTTGATTGATTTAAAATGATTAAAGGACAGAGGGTGTCCATTCAGCTAGACTATACGAGGCGGATGTTTTGAGTAATCTGCCTCTTTTCACGGTCGAGCGGTGCTCACAAACAACGCTGAGAGGAGCTGAGAGCGTCACTGGACGTTTTCTCCTTCAGGTTGTTTTCCTCTGAAGATGATGCCTAAACTCTGCAGAGGATGAGGAGACAAAGGGATGAAGATGAAACCTCCTCCTCTTCTGTGGAAGCTGCTGACACACCAGGATGAGATGCTGAGTGGGCTCCACGGGGGGCCGCGGCGGGTGATTGGCTCCTGCTGCGGAGCTGATGTTGGCATGAAGCCCGTGTCAAGGGGCAGGAAGAGAGCGAGACTGAGGGGGTCTGACAGAGTGTGTGTGTGTGTGTGTGTGTGTGTGTGTGTGTGTGTGTGTGTGTGTGTGTGTGTGTGTGTGTGTGTGTGTGTGTGTGTGTGTGTGTGTGTGTGTGTTTGTTTAACTGAGCTAATGAGTCAATTCAGTTCTCAGTGAAAGACACTCCTCTGGTTCTTTAAGTCGCACAGGAGAGTAAAGGATCGTGGGAGATGCAGTTTGTAATGATTTATTTTCACTCTGACGACAGATCTCTCGTTCTTTGCAGAATCATGTTCCAGAAATCTGGGTTTCCTTTTTCGCTTCATTTTGTACATTTATCGAAAGCCATCTAAACATGGTGAAAATGAAGAGAAGGGGGAGTAGAACATGGTCTGTTTGCAGGACAACGTTGATTATATTGTCCTCTTTAAAATGTTGCAAATTTAAAGAACATTCATACTTCTCACGTTTCTGAGTTGTTGAGATTTAACGTTTTTATTTATCCATTTTAGTGGACAGACAGGACAGTGGATAGAGTCTGACAATGAGGTTAGAGAGAGAGACAGGGGAATGACCAAGCGGAAACATCGGGTCTTGAAAAATGAAGCCAATTCAGAAGTGCTGCAGTTTGTCAAGTGTCCACTAGAGGCTGGCTCCTGGAACACAGGAAGTCACAGCATAAATGAACATGTTTACAGCCTGGGACCAAAAACCAAACATGTCTGATTAGTTATTGTCATCAGTGGCACACACTGGGTGAAATCTTTTTTAAACGGCTCTGTTTTGATTTTATGAACGATACATGTTATCCATAGTTATGTGCGTAGCTGACATGATTGACAGGTGGGCGCGGTGCAACAGTTTGTCAGGAGGTTTAAAACCCACCTCAGCTCCAGCTCTCAGCCTGTCGTTAGGTTGACTGAAAGTTAGACTGAGACAGGATTTCCAGCATGGCGGCTGCTGCCAATGAGCCTCTGGAGCCCCCTGCAGGAACAGATGGCTGACGTCACTCAGGGTTCAAAACATTAATATTTACAGTCTGTAGGAATGTAGCCACAGGTCGGATGGAACTGGGGCCATCCTCTTTGAGGTACAGCCTCTGTACAAGGTGGCAAGGCCGGCAAAGATATTAGGAGACAGTGCCACCTAGTGGACTCCTGCAAAGCTTGTTTACATCCAAGCTGTAGAGCGAGGCGAGAAGGTGCTTTAACTGGAGCTACAGCCGGTCTATGGAAACAACTCCCCCACAGTCGCTGTGCTGCATCATATTTGACTGGTATCAAGGGCCAGCATACAAACTATGTGAGGGTGATGACATTTAATCGTTTGGTCGACTAAACGCCCTCATCCTTAGTTTTAGCTTCTTCATGCGGGACTCCCCTGCTCATCTTTAACGGGCTGTACATGAGGAGTCTTCAGGTTTGGACCTGTTGTTCGAAAAAAGAGACTCAAACTGAAGACATCACGCTGGCTGTGGGAATGTGACATGTAGGAGATTAAACTTTAAACTGAACCATCATTACTGCTGACCTACTTTATAGAAACTTTATAAACAGCTGGGCTAACTTGGGTGCTGATTGCACTTTGTAGTTGATGTTAATTGTAAAAACAGTGGATGATAAAAGAGAGAGGA